AGTTGTCATGGTTGAGAAACACTCCTGTAGAACCTGGATCATTATCCTTCAGTGGAGTAGCAGTGGACATTACAAAATACAAAGGGCATTGAACTGTGTTTGAAACAATGTGGATGTAAAGCGCTCCGTGGTGAACTTGAATTGGAATTTCACATTGAGAGTTTATATCTTTTCCTTTAACAATGGGAAATTGTTTCCTTACGTTATGTCATCTCTCGTATTTATGTGATAGATATTTATGGAACAAAGAATAACTGCATATCTTCTACTGTAGGCTAACATTCAAAGGTGAATCATGCCTTTGCTGAATTCTTTCAGTAGAGATGAGTTACATGACTTGAAAAAGAACTTTAAAAAAACGAACCCAAACACCACCCCTTCCAGGAATGGTTCGTAATATCTAGATGGGCTGCTGAATGTGGAATATTCTTGTCGGAAACTTCCTGTCATTCATGGAACTGCCTGTCATTCTTGTGATCCGTACTAACCTTGCCTTCAACCTGATGATTGTTTTTTTCTCTTTGCAGCTCTGAACTTTGAACCCTATGGGGAATCGCTTTCTGAGAGTTTCCCTTTATCCAGAATTACTGGCAGACAGTCTCCAACGGGGCTTTCTTTGGGCTCAGATAATAGTGCTGAGAAAGGACAGAAAGAGTAAGTCTGCTTGTCTCTTCAGCAAAAACTTCTAAAATGCAGCCTGCCCTCTGTTCCTCTCTTGCTACACAATGGTTTGGCCAGCAAACTGTCAGAGCTCGGGAAAACGAAAATGCAATGTCATCGGTAATACTTGACTGCAAAGCTGACTTTTTTTGTACTGGGTTAAGCAAATTGCACTAACTCCCCTCCTCTCTCTGCTTTATTTATTGCTATAATAAAATACAGTGATTGCCATTTTTGAGCAGCAACTTGTCCATGACTCGGTCTCTAAACGTCTTTTATGTGGGTTAGCTCTCTCCCCCATCTGCAAACTGATATCAACCTGTTTATTGATTGATTGATAAAACTCCTGGTTCTGAGTGGTTTGCCTTACTGAGAAAAACGAAGGCACTTGATAGGTCCCACTCTTTGGCTGGCTCATCCTTGTTAAGAAGGCCTCCCAAATTATTTACTGAGTTTGCATATAGCCCTGTGCTGTGGTTTGTTGCAAAACCCACCACTGTTTGGATTCTGCCATGGTTGCTAAACCATAAATGATGACTTGACAGACCATGACAGTTGGGTTTACACAACACGCTTAGCCAAAACCAAGTGATATTATGGCTTAAGAAGGTAGGTGAACCCAACAGCTTGTATGCACTTTCTTCTGCTAACAGTTGCCTGAGAGATTAGTATCTTGCATCTGTGGGTTGTTCTTTGAAAAGGAAATGCGTCCCTGGGCACAGTCAGCATGGAAGTGCAAGATTGTAATCTCTGTGGGTTAGTACAGAATATTGATTTCAGGGTTTGGAGGGAAAAGACGTAACTGAGGGCCTGGCTTTTCTTTTCATGGACAGCCCCATAACCACGTGGACAGATGCAGGAGGGATGGACGCACTGCTTACTCCCCATTGAGTGATTTATTAAATCCAGCTGTGAGGGTCCACTCCAGATGCTCTTCAGAAGTGCCTGCTGGGCACTGCACTAACCTTTTTCCCACTGTCATGTCTTTAGGAACAGTCTGAAGCTTGAGGGTGTAAAGAAATTGTGGGGCAAAGAAGGCTACCTCCCCCAAAAGAAAAACCAAGTAGAAGAAGAAGAAAGCATCCAGGCCGTTCTGCAGGGCAGCCCATTTGTAGAGCCTGTTGTTAATAGTTTTCCATTGCAACCTAAGCAAGAAATGACGGACCTCGCAGAAGGGATGAAGGAGAAGCAGCAGCTAGCTTCAGCACTCTTTGTCGGCCTAGGATCACAAAGCAACATCAGTCTGGTATGATGGCTAAATTGAAGCTTAATATGCATGGCACGTTTTTAGGATTCCCCCCCCCCCCTTCCCAAGCCCTACTGCTTTGAATGAGATGGTGCATTCAGACTTAACCTTATACCGAAATCGTATTTTGATCCCACTTTTGTCTGTCTTTTTAAGTTGGGCAAAGGAGACCCCACCGCTCAGAGGTTTACAAGGAAATTGAAAACAAACGAAGCCCCCGACAATGAGAGTTCACTTGGTGTGGAAAGCACAGCCAGCGCTTCCCTATTTCCGGAAGCGTTAACTGGGAACAAGGACCCTTTTGTAAACAATGGACATCTAAGGCTCAGGAAAGCTTCACTAAGTTCTGCTGAAACTTCTGAATCAAAAGTGGTGCTCGATCGCTCCCATTCGTTGCCCGAAGGTGGGTTGAATGAGAAGCCTCTGGATCACCGACTTTCCCCACCTTCTTTGCTTAGCCATGGTCATAGGGACATCTTCCATCCTTCTCCAAATACTCCCGTTGTCATTCAAAAGCAAGTCTCCATGACCCCTTCTTTACCAGAAGAAGCAGCCAAACATCCTCATTCAGAAGTTTCAGAACTTTGTGGCAACGAATCCCTGCTTTTATATTTTTCTAAAGTCTGGAAAGAGGACAGTCTTCTGCTTTTTTTATTTCTTGCCAATAGAAGCCCTTCCATTCTTGAAGATGTCAGTCTGGAATTTCAACACGCGGAACATTTCAAGGTAACTATTTTATCACCGGTTTTGCCTTTTCTGCTATAGTACTGGCTTGGTGGTGGTCAGATAAAATATCTTTAACCTGTGTTTTTTCTTTCTTCTTTTTTTGTTAAAGATGGTAGAAAGTCTTGGCTGCCAACTTGCTGTAATAGAAAGTAAAAATATAGAAAGCTTCCAGATGTATGTAGAGATGGAGGAACCCTGCTCATCAGGAAAAATCTTTGGTTGCGTTAGTTATCTGCTAGAATTGGATGTACATCTCCAATTTTCTATATCTTTAGAGCTGTTGGATTTTATCAGGTAACTGTATAGAATAATTTTCTTAATAAATACTTATGAAGTGCAAACTAGAGCTAATTAGATTTATTTGCTTGGGAAGCCTCTCTCCCATAGCTGGTTTTTCTTCTT